CAATATTTTTTTTCTATTTATTTATAAAATTACAAAATGTATAATAAAATGAAAACATTTAATTAGTTTTCTGTCTTTTCAGTTTCGGTTGTACTTCTTCTTCGTGGAGTGTTGTGCAAGAAGCAGAAAAATAAATATTTCATTAAATCAATTATGATTTGAGCTTTACCAACAGGTAACGAACAAATCAACTTTTAAATTGGAAAAAATTCCCCCCACTGAAGAAGCTGCAGCACAACACTCCTACAGAGTTTACTATCAGTTGCAAACTTGGCTAAGTTATTTGGACGACGTACTCGATAACAATAAAGCAAAGCAATGGGGCTGGAAGGAACATGTAGGTAGACTTGTTCCCAAATACCTCTCAGACGATTACGACTTAATTCCCCAAGAATTATTAAAATGCATAAGTTGCAACTGTGAAAGTGGTTGCAATAATCAAAGATGTGGCTGTCGAAAACATGGCTTAAAATGCACTAACTTATGTAGCAACTGTCATGAAAATTGTTCGAATAAAGACAAGGAAACGTTCGAAGAAATGAGCGATTCAGAGGAAATTATTTATGAAGAGCCAGCAACAAATCGAGACGTCGAATTTGAAGACCCAGAAGACGTTGCAGATTACGAAGATACTTCAGAATTAGAAAGTTCTATTGACGAAGAAGAAGTACGACCGAAACTGAAAAGACAGAAAACTAATTAAATGTTTTCATTTTATTATACATTTTGTAATTTTATAAATAAATAGAAAAAAAATATTGCTTAATTTTGACTACTATATGTTTAATTATAATTTATTAAAAATATTTTGTTTTAAATAACCTACATGACTCGTTACTATACTACACATAATGAAAAAATAATAAAATATACATTGATAATATGCTCACTAAGTTAGCGAATCTTATTGACAGATTACGATTCTCAATATGGTACAATTTATAGCCATTAAAATGTTATTTTTAATACCTTTCCTCTTTTTCCTTTATAAAATTAAATCAACTTTAGTAATATTACATTACAATACGTCCTGTCATTAAAATGTAGTCAATTATTAACAAAAATAACAACAAAATTGAATTAAAATGATATATATATGTATATAAATATAAAAATACAAAAAAAACATCAATAAAGTTGTCCGGAAGATGAGGGTAGTTTTTTAAAAAAGTGTCAAAATCTCAAAAACTATTTGCTTTTTTAATTCCAAAAAATCAAGCTTATTCCAGGCAAAAAAAGGTATACTTCCACAAAATTTCATGTAAATTAAATTATTTTTACGTGAGAAAAAAATTAAAAACTGAAAAATCAGTTTTTCGCCATTTTCTCGAAAAATTTGAGGTTATGTTGAAAAATGTCAAATACAAAAGTTTTAGATTTTTTTATTATCTATAACTTTTGTATTGAACATTTTCCACTAGGAGGTCACCCTTCGCCGCAAGTCGAGAAAAACCGATTTCAACCCCTAAACAGCACCCCCATTTCACCATTTCACATTATCTCGTGTTTAAACATTTTTTTTTTCGTTTTGTTACAATCTTAACTTCATTTTCCAGCCGGTCGTTGCCTGTTATTAATTTTTTTATCTACAAAAGTTATCGGCACTAGACTAATATTTTATGTTCATCCGTGGATGGAATAGTGTGTTTGACGTATTCAAGTAATGATAAACGTAAATAATAATAATAATTTGTTTTAGCGCGTTAGGAAATTTACCATCTTTGATATAGAGGAAAGTCGCCGATATCGACACAGGTCTCCTAAAGCAACACCTCCTTATTTCTCAGAAACTAACTATTGCACTTCATTAATACTAATACAAATATGACCTCTTAGCAGTGATGCGAATTCAGGACCGTTTGCAGCACGGTTACTAGCATGAAGAGAGCATAGACGACACACATAACGCATGCGCAAGTGTATACGAATATGAACTTATGTAGTGTATGTACCTTCTTATGCTTCTTTATGCTAGTAACCATTCTACAAGCGGCCCGGAATTCGCATCACTGCCTCTTAGTTAATTAAAAAAGTGTAAATGCATAATTCATATATTTGTAAATGCATAATTCATATATTTGTAGCTTCTATATAAAATCAGCTAAAAATAAATTATACGAATGCAAAAATAAAATACTTACGATTTTCTTTTGCAAATTTAATTTAAATAATAGCGATTATATTATTAATAATATTACGTCGTTTTAAATGCTTGTACTTTTCTATATCAGTTTTGTTTATATTATTTTCTTCCTTAGTTTTTCGTAATACATTTTTAATTTTTCAATAATTTTAAATATAAAATCGGCGTGCTGCATATCACACACATAACTCACCTATATTATCTAATTTCTTTTCTGCCGTAATGAGATTACGAACCCTAAATGTATCCAAAATTGGTAAATTGTGTCTTAATTGATTCATTTTGTAATATGTTTGTTATAATATAATATAATTTAATAAATAGTTTAAAATATCGCAAGTTACTTTTTCCACTTTATTATAAGATTCTGTATACATTCTAAATAAGTTAATATAATAAAATCAATTCTAAAAATAAGACTGCATAAACCTTAAGGAAATTGAATTTCGGTCAAATTAGCTAAAAATTTGATATGTTATAGATCTTGTTCCGATAAAAAGTCTTCACAGGCACGACCCCCCATAATGAACCGTTTCATCTCTACAAGTCCTTTTTCAAAACGGGCTAGTACTACAATATTTTACTTTCAATGAATACAGTGTATTTCTACGTTGTTATTTGTATTTTCTATCTATATATTTTCGTAAAAAGTTATAAGGCTAATATTGACTTGATTGCTTTTCACAAATTAGAGTGCTCGATTATTATGAGTACCATAGCCTCACTCAAATCGGGGTGCTTAAATTTCTAAAATCAAATTATCAATCTTGATATCTTTGTAGCTTTTTTGTAAGAAGCAATCAAGTCGATATTATCCTTATACCTTTTTCAGTTAAACATATACACAGAAATTCCAAATAATCATATAGGAACTCGTTAAAAATAACCCCGGATCTACAATAGAGTTTTAAATCTTAAGCCATAAGAAATAGACGAATTATAATCGATCATTCTCCTGGACTTCAACTGTAATTAGTCAATTTCTTATGACTTAAGGCTTAAAACAACTATTGTAGATCCGAGGTTAAGGTAAATATTCACAAAAGGTCAGCACTTTATTACAGGTCAAAAATCAATAATCTTGTCATATGTTGTCAAAGTCATGATTCTGAGTAACATCCAACAAAATTTAGCCGTCGCTCGTTATTCGTCAAAAAGTTATTAAAAAGAAAAGTTTGAAAAATAATGTCTCTTTTTATTATATAGAATAAAAATTTTCTCCTTTAAAATGTATTTTACGACTGTTCGAAAAGCGATTTCCACCTCTCTCCCTGCTTCAAGGAGCATATGCTCGTGCGTCTATGTGCGTACGTATATGTATGTGTGCATGCGCGCGCGTATTACATCTTAAAAACAGTTTCACCGATTGTTTTATAAATTTTTATTTATTTTTAAAACAATTATCTACAAAATATTGAGAATATAATCAGATATTTTATTTTATTTTTAATCACTGTTACAAATGTATTCGCTTGAACAGTAAATTATCCTTTCATTAGTTTCATGATACTATTTAATTATCACGTAATTGTGCAATATTTGGAATAATAGAACGCTCACTGCAAGCGAAGCATATTATTACTTACATTTGTCTTTATTTTTAGTATATTTACATCTGTATATATTTACCAAAATAAGATATTGTAATAGATATTAGACAATTTTGAAAAATGACGCCTCTTATACGTGAAACGGTTCATTGTAGAGAGTCGTTCTTGTGGAGACTTTTTATCAAGATTACAACAGATCAAATCTTCAGACAATTCAACCGAAATTTAATTTTCATAAGGTACGTGTGCAGGATTCTTTCTTTAAATGTGCAATTCTTTGTAAAAAAATCCAACTAGGGTAAGAATTAAAAACTTACGTTGCTTCTCTAATTATATCTTCGTTTTAAAATTAAATTTTTGTTGTGGAATATAAATACTTTTAAGTAAAGAATTTTAATTAATGTAACAATTACAAGTTTAATGTTGTCAAATAGAATATTCAATTTATAATTCACTTTTTGCTCTAATTTTTAGACATGAATCTCTATGTTAAAATTGGAAAATTGGAAATTAGGATGATTTTTACTAATTAGAGAAAGAGGAGAAGCTTGAAATCCGAGCTTGAAGAATTTTTTAAAGTTTGAAGTTTCTTTTAAAACTTGAAGTTTTTATTTTTTAGATCGGTATTTCATATAATATTCTAATTAATTATTTACGAAACTATACGAAAGCTTTAACATCCTTTCTGGATCATCTCATTACGATTATTTTTGATGAAGTTGCACTCTCTAAAAATTGCTTATTTATAAATATCACTTATCAGAATATATGATCTCTCTCTTTGACGTAGTTTTATATTTATTATATTATACTATTATATTTATTTTATTATATTATACACTTTACGATATATTTATTATATTATACTATTATATTTATTTTATTATATTATACACTTTACGATATATTTATTATATTTTATTAATGTGATCGATAAAGATGTATATTAAAATGTTACCTACTAAGGTAATATTTTATTATTTTATGTACAACGCATGAAACAATAAAATATTATATGCGCATATCATATATGATATGCGCAATAAATGATTAACAATCATTTTGCGCATATTACATCATTTAATTTTTATTATTTCGTGCGTTGTACATAAAATAATAAAATATTACCATGATAATATTATCATATAATTTTTATTATTTCGTGCGTTGTACATAAAATAATAAAATATTACCATGATAATATTAACCATCATTTTGCAAGTGCATTCTTGAGCATATATATATTGTCGAGAAATACCCAATACCAACGGAAAGAGTCTTTCGTAGCTTCTATACGCGTCTTACCGTTAGAAAAGTTAAAAAATGAAAACTTCCATACTTTTTATGTGCCTGCTAGTAAGTATAAATTATATCTTTTTAAATACATAGAGAAGGGTTTCCCAACTTTGTATCGCGATCAACATTTAAAACAGTAATATCGCGATCCATCTAGTTAATACAAATTCTAGTTGGGAGGGGGGGGGGGGGGAACTAGGCAGTACGATGGGTTGCGCGGCAAACTTTGCATGGCCAAGCGTGGTTTAATAGACAATGACAGTGACTTTATACATTACAAAGTTTATACTACAAAGTTTTATTATTTATATTATAAAGTTTATGTTATAAAGTTACTATCATTGTCTATTAAACCACGTTTGGTCATGCAAAGTTTGCCGCGCAACCCGTCGTACTGTCTAGTATGTATCTGTAACACCCTGTACATATATATTATTTGATTCTTTTTTTTAAATTTTTATTGACCATAATTTTATAAACCTTTTCTGAAATATCTAATAAAATATGTGTAAAGAACGATTTTGTTTATTATTTCTGTTGATTTTCATATCGGCAGTGATGCGAATTGTTAAATATAAACAGTTTAATAATTCTAATTTATATACATATTTGGTTTTGATTTCTATCGTTGTTCCAAAAATCCAACTTCACACACCCACATGTATGTACGTTGTATAGATATAAATTGTAGTACTTGTATGTAAGTTTGTACTATTATATGAAATAACGTACTGTAAAATTGAAAATAATTGCGTTCTATTAAAAATTGACTCATGCTTTGAGAATCTCTAATATAGAATACTGAACAAGTTTAACTAAAACTGTCTGAAAAAATACATACATTTTAATAAGTATGAATGTTATTATATATTATAACTTATTTATTATAAATACAATCATTAAATATTTATTATAGCTAAAAGAAATTATATTATGCCATGTTTAACAATTTTAAAAATTAAAGTACTTATATACAAAATATTTACACATAAATTCGAATAATTTTTTTTATATTAGGTAGCTTATGCAGCAGGTAATACTAATGAAACTATGACTACCTTTTGTAACTACCTGGAATACTGTTCGAACGAAGTGTCAAAATACAGAAATAAGCCATTCCCGTGTAAGTAAGAAATATTAAACATTAAATATTGAAAATGTTAAGTTATTACAAAAAATTAAAAGCATTTGACAAACAAAACTTAAAAAAAATATTAATTTCTAAAAACTACTTCTAATTCAAACTTTATTAATCAAAAATGTCAATAGCTTCATAGTTAAGGTAGAGAAAACCGTGACTAGTTGTTATAATTTTATTGCTAGAATAACTTTATTAGAATTTTTCCGGAATACTGTATACATTATCAAGATTCCTATGCACTGATTTAAGTACATTTTTAACTAGCTAATCAACTTTTTTCTAATTTGTATCAATGTCTTTAAACATTAAAAATAGAAATTTTCTGGTAGATAAACTGTAACAACTTACGCCATTGTAAGGCAAATTATTATTATTGAGCTTAAGACAAATTGTTATATTTATAATATTTTCTCAAATATTTAAACGTAAGAACATATCAATTACGATTACAAAAATCGAATTATGAAATCAAACATAAAACATTTTACATAGAATATTTATTTTAGAATACAAAATTGAAACTCACAAAAGTATATTAATATAGATTTTTTCTTAAATCAATTATTGAATATCTATCAATCAATTAAAAGAAAAGAAATTTGACCTCAAATTATTAATTGATTAAATTAATAATGAATTAAAGTCTAATTTTAGGTAAAAAATACTAATTCATTAAATGTGCATTAATATATTAGATAGTTAATTATAATCGATTAAAAATAATGTAACCAGATTTTTTAATATAACATACTTTATAAATTTTAAGGCAAATATTCAAAAATAAATAGACTACTAAGTTTTTTCAACTATAGAAATATTAAAAGTCAATTTAATTTTAAATGAGTATACACACACGCAAAAACATAATATGAATCGTTTTCTCCGCAACAAATGTGAGTACTGGATGGAGCAATGTTGCGTACTGGATGTACTGAATCCAATCGTCTCATCTGGTCTACTCTAGTAGTCATTTTCTGACTTTGATTGATTCACTTTTTTTTTATTTCTAAGGATTCTTTGCTTTTCTTCGTTAAATTTTCCTTATTCTTTCTTTATATTTATTTCTTCTTTCTTTAATTGCTTTTTAACAGGAGATCTATTGAAATTATAGATTTCGTCTCAGTAGGTCTTTTTCATTTTTCCTTGCTTTAGTTTTCGGATATGATCTTATATCATCAAAAGTGATAATTTCTTATTTATTGTCATTAACATTATCTTTTGTAAACGTTTTTCTTAGATGTTTTATATAATCCTATTTATATAATCCTGTCTTCTTTTTGAGAAATTTCTTGTAAAAGTCGATCAGTGATATTAGCTGTGTGAAAATTCCGTTCTTCATACACGTTCCGATTAAAAAAGATTATACGCCAGCCTTTAAAAGCCTACTATAATATTTTCGAAATTAAAGCGCTTGACGGAACTTATTTGACCGTCGAAAGTATATCATATATTGATATTAGAGCACTAGATGCGAATTCATACAATTTGTACATGCAGAGTAATATTTTTTAAAAAAATCGTGTACTTAGATCAAGAAGTTTGAGATAGTATGTCGTGGAAATGATATATAAAAGAATTATAGGGTAACTTCGGCAAATACGCCGCGCTGGGATTTACGCCGCAGAAGTCGGAAAATATAGAAGGAGTGGGGATAATTTTCCCGTAACTACTCTATTACATGCCTTTACTTGATATGTTATATTGGTATTGTGTTATGATTTCAGCTTCTTACTATTAATATTAATGAATTTATTGTGAGTTGAATCGACTTGTCACTGTAATAAGTAACGCCATCATAAGTTATAATCTACATAAAATGATTAATGTAGGACGTATAAAAGACTTAGTGGTTATTTCGTGATACATACGTGTAGTGGAATAGTAAAGCATGTTTGTAATTAAGCATGTTTGCATTATTTGTAAACTTTTCATGAGTCGTACATACCCTCTTTCTCCCTATGAGTAGCCATATATCCCACCCCTATGAGATATGCGGCAAAAATATAAGGTTTCAAAAAGTTTATTGTTTAATATGAAAAATAAATATTTTGGATTTCTAATATATTTTTTTCATAATAGTAGACAGTACAAAGTTTTTACTGATATAGTTCGTTTCCTATAAACATAGTAAATAATACTTAATAAATTAAATTTTTGATAGGTCCGGCGTATATACCGGAGTTACCCTATGTTTTTCTTTTACAAAAATCTAGCACTGCTCTATTGATAGGTGAGAATTGTGGTTATCTAAAACCTATAATATAGGGGATTTGGTAGAAAATGAAATATATTTATAGATGTTTTTCATTAATTGTAAAAAATTGTCCTGTAATTCATCCACTAGTATGAACAGCACAGATGCTTCCAATTGAACCTTGATTGATGAAATGTCGCTTAAAGTTAATACGAAGAAAAATAAAAAGTGAAAGAGGAAAATTACTAATCACGTTGGCTGCTATTTCAATATATGTCACAGTTTGTTCTTTTTTCTGCAGCAGATGTTCTTCCTATTTGTTTTTGCCTTTCTCTACAATCATATTGATTGGTTTTAGAACTTACTCACTCTTGTTTTGTCTGTATTCCATAATTGATGATTTTTGAACTTGTGATGCTGAAAGATATCATAAAGAAAGCCGTTGTAAGGATAGCTCATTGCTCTAGACAAGCTTGTTACTTGAGAAGTTCGAAGAGAATTTAACATATCTCTTTAAAAAAGCTAAGAGCCAATCTTTAGATGCACATTATGATTTATATTATTATAATTTTTAGGATAATTAATTTTAGAAAATCATACACATATTCATATTTGAGTAACTTTATATTTCTAGATGATAAATATATTTTGCTGCACTCAACAATATTTTTAATTTTTAATTCTAAATCGTTTGAAGATACCTGCTTAGATTCTGCATTCCCTACCAATTTGACCATAGAAATAAATGTTTTATTTTTGCTTCCTTTTTTAGACAACCTTGTAACGTTATAAAAATAATGTCATTCGTATCTGTGCTTTTGTAAGAAACAGAGAGCTATCTCTAATTAAATTTCTTTTGTGGTTGTTGTATTATATGTTTTTATACCTACAGATCCTATATCTGTCTTTCTTTTGTAAGATCGCACAATTCTGTAGAAAGAAACAAAAACAATTTTTAATTTCAGGGGAGTATGGAGTAAATTATTACACCGTATATAACATTTTGACTTAATCGAGATGTAACAATTAGTCCCATTTCGCCAGTTTTGATTCGGGAAAATACAGATAAAAAACATGTATACATATCAATTCAAATAAAACGTGCTTTTATAATTACACGTAAATATAATAAATATACAAATTATATATCCAAAAAAAGAAGCCTGTCCAATTTGAGCCTAAAGGCAAAGTCATCAACGGAAAAAATTCAGTGTAAGATTTCAAGGAATGTGTCAACAATTGATAAACGTCACTCAGATGCGTATCAACACATTACAGTTCCCGAACCTTACCCACATTGAACTTTTTGCTTCATCAATGAAAATCACGTAAACAGACGTAACGTTCTCTACTGTTCAATTATAGCGAAACTAATTGGAATAGCAGAATGTCATAAAGATTACATATACTGTTTACAAAAATGCTGCTTTTTTGGCAACTAGAAGAATTAATTATAACAATTTATCCCTTGTAATAATTAGCTTCCGTCTCTCCTAATCGAAAAAAAATTGTCACTATTTTAAAAATCAGCAAATTAATTTAATTTTATTAAAATTTAAAACTGTACATTTACAATTTAAAGTAATGGCTTTTGAAACATTAAATTATCTACGTTTGTGTTAAATAGAATCAAAATGAATTTAATTATATTTTATAATATTAAAAGTGAGACAAAATAATTAGTCTCTCATTTTTCTATTACTTTACCTGTAAATAACATTTTAAACGAGTAAATAATTAATATGAAATTACTTTAAAAATTTGCAATACAGGATACTATATAAAAATTATGAAAATGCTAAGATTTTTAAAAGATTTATTAAAAATAATAACAATATAACGAATTAAAGAAAATTATCAATAATATTTCCAATGATATTATAGTCGAAGTAGTCCAAGAATATGGCATCTCTAACAACCGAAATACTGCTAACATAAATACAGAAATAAATAAATTCTCTTAGAAATTAATATTGATTAAAACAAAATTATATTGGAGTTATATTGGAATTTAAGTGTTATTCATGAATTTAATTGTGAGAACATATACATTTGAAATTATATTAATAAATATATAATTTACATTACAGGTTATGATTCTATCATAATAGATTCTTCAGTATTGTTTTGTGTAGGGGAAAAAGCTGGCTTGGTAAGTATTTATTAAAAACAGAAATTATATAAAAATAAAAATACACATACATACAAAATCATATACATATGTATGTGAGGTGATTACAATCATTATATACATTCTCAATTTAATTTAATTTTCTCATTTTTCTAAAGAATTTTTACATATTGTGCTTTTTACATATTGTACTATAATATATATAATTTTTTAAAAAGAATTTATCAGGTTTAATGTAATGTTAATAATTTAATAGCAATTTTTTATGTATTTTAATTAGCATACAGGTAGTAAATTTAAAAGTAAATATGAAAATTAATTATATTCTTGAGGCTTTCACGGGTGTTTCCTATATGACAATCTTGTGTTTCGCGGGTTTTCTCCGTGTTCAAATCCATTCTTGGAATGCCAACGTTTCGTGAACCTTGCAGTCCACTTCATCGGGGCGAGGAGCAGCCTGATACTAAGCTGTTCTCCCGGGTCGTTCCCTTTATAT